GGAGGTGGCTCGAGCGAAGGCACTGGTGTAGTTGGAGTTGATCACTCGGTTTTCGAAGTGTTGCTCCAAGGCCTCGCGTTCCATTATTTCATCGAACCACGAAGAAACATGCATAGGCGAACTCACCGTACGAGTACTGAGACATCTTGAACAGGAGTCGACGCCATTCACCTGTATGCGATGTTGTTCACCGCAGTCTTGGCAAAACAAAAGTAGAGAATCCATAGTTGTAGTCAGAGCCTCGGCATCCAAAGCACGCCTGGGCAGACCTTGAGCTCGCGGTTCGGGCAGTACATCAGCAGAACGCTTCGTACCCCTGGACGTAGCATCGCTAGGCATCTGGTTCATAAGGGACTCCAGGTCACGCTGTAGAGCTGAAGTGCCTTGGGACGACCGTCTGTGACCAGCGGACTCTGACGACACCTGACGTGATGGATCTTCAGGGACTTGCACACGACCACCACTGACCTGTGACGCAGATGACTTTCTAGACGGACCAGGTAATGCCTGCTGTTCTGGAGGTAATGCCTGCTGTTCAGGAGGTAATGCCTGCTGTTCTGGAGGTAATGCCTGTTGTTCTGGAGGTGGTAATGCCTGTTGTTCTGGAAGCGGTAATGCCTGTTGTTCTGGAACCGGTTGAAGCGCCTGCCTTGCAGGCGTTTTACTCCTGCTCCGAGCCCGTCCCCTAGGAGTACTCGGAAGACTGGCCGTAGTTCTCGGTGTCGAAGGGACCAGCATCGAGGGAGGCATCATCGGCGGAGCTGGAGTAGCCGGCACCAGTTGTCCATCGGCATCCAACACAGGTTGACCTGCCTGATCCAGAAGAGCTCGGGGTGCCGGAGAAGGCGCTCGGAGCTGGAAGTCGAGCTCGGCCGCAACCGCCTGATCGGCCCCCACAGCAGCTGGTGCATTGGCGCGAAAGGCGAGGTTAGAGTACTTGTCGGCCAAATCCTGGTCAGACTTTTTAAGGAGGTCCAAGTCGGCTTGACTTGGTGCCCACCACTCTTCCTCGCCACCAACGGAACGAACCTGCTCTTTGGAAGCTGAGACCAGCCGGCCGCGAGTGTTGCGAATCCACAATGTGGAGCCGTCGATCGCCACCACCACACCTTGCCTGTACCCCTCAAGGGTTCCTTCTCCATCCGCTGAGTTTTTAGCCCTGTAATATGCCACGCGCTGTCCTTCCACGAATGGACCGCGAGCTGGGCGTGGTTTACGAAGCAAGGCATGGCGAAGTGCAGCATCCGATTCAAACTGATGAAAGAGCATCATTGCACGAGTGCGGATCTGCTCAACGAGGCGGAGCCGGCTGCTGTCGTCATGGATGGAGCAACTCTCAATGCTGCCACCTGTACTCAGAAGGGATCCCGGGACGCGGTGGTTGCGACCGTAGACCCATTGAGCCGGTGAGGATCCGGCCCGCCGCATCAAATTGTTCTTTGCTGCCACGGCCATCATGACAATGACATTCAGTTCCTCCGGACCCATAGGTGAAAACTGAGAAACCAAGCGCTGCACAATGTAGCGGACGCTCTGTCCATGGCGCTCCACCTTGCCCATTTGATAGTGGGCGTCTGCCGGGGCATAGCGGACCTTGATGGCGCATTGGGCTTGTAGAGTTTCGAAGCGGAAGCCACGAAAGCTTCCATCCGAGTCTAGAAGCAATTCGTCTGGTGGTCCAAAGAAAGCAAACCAGCCGTTGATGAGGAGGCGCATAGTCTCCTCTTCAGACCTGTCTCGCATGTAGTTGAGGACGTGGTAGCTGGTCGCCTCGTCGACTTGAGACAAGTATCCGTGAGCGCGACCTGAAATGTCTCGAAGCCACAACACATCGAGATTCAGCCTGTCGTTGAAGCGTCTGGCTGTAAACGGCTTGGCCGGCCTGGGTTCTCGGGGAGGTTGTACTCGTAAACATATCTCGCAGCGTAGATGACGGGCTGCTTGTAGAGATGCTTCCGAAGCACCGGAGGCCGCCAGGTGCCGAACCATAGTTGCTGTCGACGGGTGTCCCAGGTTGGTGTGCAGCCTGCGCATCACTTGCAGCAGCCATTTAGGCGCATTCTTCAAACCGGGGAACGTGATGTCTCGGAAACCCGGCTGGTGTGGCCTCATGACCTCCGTCTCTTCAATCTCTCCCGTGTCCGTAGTCTTGACCTGGGCCTCGGGGCGCTCATTCTCGGTTTCGTTCAAACTCGAAGCTGGAGCTACGCCGAAGAAGAACACAGCCACCCGGATAGGCGAGGTGAACCGGCCTGACGACTGGGCCAGGATTCGGCTGACCGCCTCGGCCTCAATGACCACGGAGCCGTCACTGAGCCACAGAGCAGCTCCTCTGTGTTGGGCCCCAGCTTGAAGCACTTCAAGCGGAAGTCGCCGTTGCATCGGGGTCCGACAAATTTGTACTCGGAGAATCTTCCAAGGAACCAGGGCCTTGAGTTGCTCACCGAACGGGGTGTTCAGAGGGATCACTCGATCCGGTCTGACCTTGTCTTTCAGCTGCGCTTCGGCCTCCTTCAGCAGCGGAAGCCATGACTCCTCGTGTCTGTTCACGTCCA